GGGGGGGGATGCAAGAACCGCGAGTCGGGGCTGGGGCCACGCACCTGGCAAACATCGAAGGAGGTATCGGGGAAGGGGAAGGCGGCGGCGTTGGGGGATGCGGTCGTGGCAGGGGCCACTGGCCTGGCGCTGGGGCGAGCCCGTGCCGCACATCCGAGGGAAGCCGCGTCAATGGCGGTGGCCGCATGCAGGTGCAGGGCCCCGGGGATTGTGGGAAGATCAAGGACCCGTGGCTCGAGGCCTGCCTGGTCGTCCGTCAGGAAGGTCAGCCTGCCACACGAGAGCCCGGTGCACCGGGGGAAAGTATTTCGATAGACCTCGCGATCGGCGCGACTCGCATAGTTGAAGACCACGGAGCTCGTGGCAATCGCAGCCGCGGCCGGTGGCGGGGAAGCCCTGGCGGCGGGGGGGCCCGCGGCCTGTTGGGCGCCCGCGCGGCCGGCTACCGCAAGCACCGCCAGCATGAGCGTCAGCAGCATCCGGACGGATAAGGCGGAGGCCGGACCGGCCGCGCAGGAGGGGGAAAGCGCGCTCCCGGAGGAGGGTGCGACGGGGGCCATCTCACTGCCCGGGATCCATACTAACCACGAGGCCAGGGGAGGAAAGAGGGCGACTGCGTCGAGTGCCTGCACTGCGAGGTCGAGCCTCTGGTGGCAATCCAGCGGCGAGCGAGGCCGAAGGGGACAGGGAGGGGAGGCGGGGGGGGCGAGGGCAAGCGGGACACCACGTGAAGTCGACGAGCGTAGAGCGCACAGCAGGGGAGGGGGGGGGGGGGACGAGACGAGGGGGCGGTGGGGGATGCGTGCGCCGGACTGGGTGCGATGCTCGGTGCTCCTCCCCAAGAAGGTCCGTCGTGCCCCGGTCGCCGCGAACGCGAGGACCACCCAGGCAGGCCGCGAGCGAGGCCAGGGGGAGGGGGCAGCGGGGCGCGAGCGGAAGCTAGATCGGCGATTCCGGCCAGCACCCGGCCAAGTGAAGGGACGGAGCACGAGCAGGGCCGGGGACCAGCACCGAGAAAGAGACCACTTGGCCGGCGGCGCTGCTGACGAGAGCCGCGCCGATCTGGGCAAGAACATCATCTCGGCCGCAACGGATGCCCCCCCCCCCCCCCTCCCCCCGCGGTACACCAGCGCAGGGGGAGGGGGGGTGCACGGGCGGTCCACCCAGCGCCCCCGGACGCGGGCCTATGCCGGCGCCGCACGAGACGCCCAATGGACCATCTCATCCACCCGCGAAGCTGCCCGGG